TATGGCACATCCAGCTGAGTTCTGTTAAACATTCATGTCAGAAAAGGGAGCCTAGTTGGGAAATATGGAAATCTTTCTCTTTTCTCATCCCCTTAAATTTACAGAGCATCAGATAAGGAATAATGTGTGATCTTAAGCTGTTAGACCAGCACCAGATTCAAGTCTACCCTTAATCATGCAAGCTGATTGGGTGGCTTTCAGACAGTCATTCTTAGCCCAACCCACTTAACAGGGTTGTTTCTGTGGGTGGAAACGTACCCTGCGTTGAACTTCTGAATGAAAGGCAGTGGTAAATAAAATACAGTGCTCCACACAATATACAGCATTTATTCAATTTGTGAAGGACTGTGTGTGTCACTATGATCTTTAGGCAGTTCTGAAAAACACAGTGCAGACTATATAGCTAAAATCTCCCTTCCCATTTCCAAACAGGTAATCTGAGCAAATCTATTCAGTCATCTTTGGCAAGGCTTTTTAAAGGCTCCTGTGAATTCCAAAGCAGAAGCTGAATTGCTCCGTTCAGCTTCTACTTCTCAAATTGAGTTTTGCTGCATTCGTTTCCATGGTGACAGTTGTGCTAGCCAACCCTGACTATATACAAAGGCGATCTGCTCAAACATGCCTTAAAGCATGATTAAAAGAAGCAGGAGAGACGGACAGCTCTGGTTTTTTGGCTTCCACATAGGAGAGCAGCTGTTTATGCATGGGAACACACACACACACACACACACACACACACACACACACACACACAGAAATAGGACTTCAGTGTACGGAGAGCAAATAGATTTGCATCTATTCTTGCAGCTAGGCCAATTTGCCTATAATAGACCCTCTACAGAACAATCTTAGCAAGCTTTCGCTCTCAGAACCCTTCCTATGGATTTTCTTCCCAGGACTATTTATAGAAAGTAATGTAAAAAGCAATCTAGTTAATAAGATGCCATATGGAATCGTTTTAGGAGGTACAATACATTTTTAAACATCACCTTGTAAGTACCACATGGAATCATTTTGATAGGTATGACATTTTTTAAAAAAAATCAACTAAAATAAGTGCAAGGAATTATCTAGGCAGCAATTTTTAAAGTTATCTTTCATACAAGCACCTGTTTAAAACTTGCAACTGGTTAAAATTAGACTTCTGTTCTCATACAAATGATGTAAAGTTTTGAATTTATGTGTAAATATTAGTATAAAAAGATACAATTAACTATTAATCAGGAAGGTACATTAGGACAGTGGTTAGGAAAGTCAACTGTTTTGCTGTTGTGAATTCTATTTTGCCCTTACTGCCAACGGCGAGTACCATTTAAAATCTCTCACAAAATATAGTCAAACTTCCCAGTTTTGTCAGAATCGTCTTCCTTCACTTTGTAGCTGACAGATTCCCTTGGTAGCTTTCCATGGCAATATCAGATGTATTACTTTCATAGCTTCAATGTATGTATCCTTTTGCACTAAGGACCTCATCATATGTTAAACTGGGACAGATTTTTGAATTTGAATCTAATTCTTTTCATGAAGATTTAATCACTGTAAGGAGCATATTTGTAGCTCAGGGTTGAAATGGGGGGTCCTTGGTACTCCTGGGCTCAGTTTTTTTCTTGCAGACATTTCATTATCAGTGCTTGGTAACATATACCTGATGATATTACTTAGTTTGGGTAATGAAACATCTTCAAGAAAACAACCTCATTGTAAATCTCATGCCTATGACATTTTGGAGAAAATATATTCTTAACTGAGGAGCACATGAAACACTTTGTCACAGCAAGCTGTGCCTTCCATTTCTCAGTAAAAATATAAGCATTGTATTGAGCTAGCTTGTTGAATGTTTTGAGTTGTTTCTGGCAACAATGCATGCCTTTTTTTCAAAATGCCCAAGCAAATGAGAAGAGCTGTTGGTAAAATTCAATCACACCAAGAGCAGCCATTTCCAATGACTGACTGAAGTTTTCCATGCTTGTAACTTTCATGTTCCTAAAGTAAAAGGTGGAATTGAAGAGCACTTAAGCTCTATAAAACATTATTTTTAATAAAATACCTAAGATCCATTCAGAATTACCATAACAATTTTCCTTTTGTTCATGTCTGCCTTTATTACCTTACATTCCAAACAGGAGACGTATTAAACAATTTTTAAATCAGAAGTTAAAAATTAAATTTTAAAAAATGCATTGCTAGTAGCTTAAAAACTCACTTTATGTACTTACTACAATGTTTGAGAAATCCAACAGCGACACCCAGAGGCTAAGAATATTTGTCTTGGCAACACAAATTCTTGTTAGTGGATTCTTTTTGGAAAAAAAAATAAGACTACATTTGAATCATTATGAACTTTAAACGTGCTTTAAGTTTCCACATGATTTCATTCCATCAAGAATGTTCATGCCCCTTTGTGAAGTTTTATTCTGAACATCGATAAGCCACACCAGTTCAGCACAAGAGGCTGAATTTTTATAAATCGGGGCCTTTCCTGCCTCTTTGCTAGCTTAAGTGGCTTAACACTGGGCAAGACAAAGACTTATTAGTTACGTTTTCTACTTGTGAGTACTGTAATCAAGTAAAAAACAACTTACTTTATTACAAATTTTACCATTTTATAAAACACGTTTAATTATAGAGATAGCTGTATTGTAATTAATATTTTGAAACAATTGTGATTTTGAGCTTAAATTATATACAGAATTGTCATTTTTGTATGTGTTAAAAAGATTGCTATATGACAAAATACTTTTCAGTTTAATTACTGTATCATTGTAAATAAGGCTGAATGAAGAATCATTTACTACTTTATGAACATAGATTGTGAATGTAATTCAATGTTTTGCAGTATACAGATTTACTGAACTTGAAAGCTGCTTCATTTTATGTGAAAAAGTACTTTAAAGCTATATTTTAAATGAATTGATTCAGTGAAATCAATCATCTTTAATTTGCACATACAGATAGTATCTTTTCCATTTTACTTTGCGCATTGACACTAACTAGTAAGGTGTATATTGTGTCTAGAATGCATTTTGCAGATGCTTTCTGTACATAAAAAGAATACAGGGACTCAAACAATGCTGTGCAGCGTATAGCAGAGCCATTTTCGGCTTTGATGTACTCAAATTTTTTCAGTATTTAAAAAAAGTGTTTTGAATAATATATTAAAAAGTCTATTGTATAAATAAAGTCACCTTATTGTAAATATCCTGCCTTCAGAGCAATGTATTGCAACAATTGCATCTTTTATTACTCACAGAAAGCCAGTATTAATAATCAGCAGCAAATCTCTCATTAGAACTTTGGTTTTTACCTGTTTTTGGATTCAGTCAGTTTTAATTTTTTAAAGACTCCCCAAGTTTATCCGAAGCATAGTTTGGAACATAAAAGAGCAGCTTTAAAGGTTACTTTCCCAGCAGCTGCCATCATAGACAAAACATTTGGTCTCCTGGAGTTTTTGAATTTTGAATGTTGATGATCCTGTTGTAGCTAAAGTTCATACAGGGTGGAATGCATCTGGCAGAGCTGGGTATATGTGGAATCTCTCTCTCTCTCTCTCTAACACATACACACATTTTAATGCACTGGTGTAGCCTTTATGCTATCCTTAACTTCCCAGCTGCTGAAAAAGTCAGTGTCTACAGCTTCACACCGGAGCACTTAAGCATACTTGTTGGAGATTACAACTTATGTCCAGAAGCATCTCTTTGATCTGTAAGAATTGATCCCAGCATATTTAGAAAACCCAAAACATTTTATTATATAGACAAAAGCAAACGTCTAGAAGATGCTATAGCACCCTGTTTACCTCTAATCAGCACATTTCCTGTCTTTAAAATAGTCCTTCATTTAGTGTATCACTGGCCAGCATCTAATGTCAACATTCTGGAAAAAAAACACTCCTTACTGGAACAGCTGATTGGGGTAGGCAGAAGTGATGTTGTATGGGTGGAAGCTAGACCAGGGTGGCCAACTGTGGCCCCTTTATGACCTGTGGATTTCATTTCCCAGAATTCCTGAGCCAGCAGCCATTCCTGGCTCAGGAATTCTGGGAATCTAAATCCACAGGTTGTAAAGGGGCCACAGTTGCCCATGTCTGAGTTAGAACCAGCTGTTTTTTAAGCTTGTATTCAATTAGGATTGCAGCTTTTGCACCCTCAGTACTTGTCAGCATCCAACAAATAATTCCATATATCGCTGAACAGACAGTATAGTATTATACAAGGAATTAAAACCTCAGTCTTAACACTGCTGATTCAACAGAACAATTCATCAAGAAACACTGTTTACTTAATATTTCAGGACTGGAATTTGGCAGGAATCCTCACTCAAACGGGGAATTTGTATCAGAATAAAATAATCTGAAAGCAAGCCAGTACGATACCACAATGAAATAAGTATGTTTATCTTTCCAATTAAGAAACAAACCTACAAAAGGACAGAATAGAAGGAACACATTTGAAGAGAGTATTTACAATGTAATATGTAAGGGGGAGAAATGAAAGAATTAATAGAACAAAACAGAACCTTACCAGTTTGCTTCCTACAAAACTAATATTTGCAATGATGCCTGTGAAATCCACAAAAACCATGAGAGCCTATCAGCCCCAAAGTTGTGAATTGGATTAAACTTGGATTAAGGTACTATTTCCTAATATTTGTGATACTCTGTATTGTAATGTTTTGTATGTTTTTTTGCATTTGTAAATGTGTATAAATGCTATTTTTGAAATTTAATCTGATTTTAAAATACATATTACATTCATGTACCAAAACACAAATGGCAACCAAATATTTAGTTTATACTTCTTCTATAACAGCCTTCGGACCAAAGCCTTAACATTGTATACATGAATGGCAAACACATTTTGGGGGCGCTTAAAACATATAAACAGAATTCTAAACAACTGAGAAGTATCAAATATAAAATTAAAACATGGCCATACCAGATATATATGTTGAAAGGAGAGAAGATCATAAGCAACTATTTGCTTTTGCTGGGTAATATATGCCATACAAGTATAGCCCCAAGAACAGCCTGAGTTGCCTGCTGGTAGGCTAAAATCCTTTGAGAACCCTAGAAGCAACATCCTAGCATACGCATTTTCAAGGTAAGTTTCCCAACAACAAACGCCATGATCTTCGTTCTTCAGAAAGTAAGATGTTGCACACTTTTTAGTTCATATCAGCAGCAACAGTAGGAATCCTGCTTCTCAGATACTCAAGCACAGCAGCTGTTCCCTTAGCCAGAATAGCTGCACGGGGAGTTCGGAAAGGGTTACCTTCCAGTAAAAGTACTCTAAGAGAAAGAGAAAAACCAATTAGAACTGCTGTTCATTCAGGTGCAGAGTCTATAAGAATACAGAAACATTCAGAGGGAGTGAGGAAATCCATGGAGACTCCTCTGGTTCAAACTGCAGAAAGCTGAATCAACATCGTCAAAATGCTTCCATTCGCATGAGGATTTTGCTAGATTAAACAAACATTCAACAGCAATATTGTATATATAATCTATTTACCTTCCAGTAATACTTCTGCCACTTATTAAAATGTCTGTTTCTCTTCTACAGGCTTACCCTTGAAATAATGTCCTCACAGAATCTCTCTTTAAAGTCTACTTTCTATCTCAAGGCAGAGCTGAAATCAGTTTCATATTTTGATTGATTGGATTTTCTTACAAGCTTTGCTACTAGATGCAACTTGCAAGAGAAACCTACTACATTAAAGAAGCCCTAATCCATTCTAAATTCTTGAAACAAGATCTACACATTGAAAGCATAAGTTAAACCTTCCTTAGGGCTTATTAGAATTCCGAGAAATAATTATCAGTTTATTTAATTTAAAGCTGATCTGCTTTACTTTAGGTAATTAATTGCATAGTCAAGATTTGGAAACGTCAGACGACTGAGTGTGCACTGTCTCCTTCACTCCCCACAGGAGAAAGAAGAATTCGATTTATTTAGACCTGACCTTTCTGATAAATTGATTCTGAGGATTTTATTAAATTGAACTCAGTATATATGATATGCAAGAATTTACTTAGCTTGATAGGGCATAAATCTACTGGATCAGAATGCTCTACTCTCAGTCATTCATGTCCTGGTCACTTTCACATGGATCGCTGTAATCCGCTCAATATGGGGTTGCTCTTGAAGACAATCCATAAGCTTCAGCCGCTACAAAGTGTGGTGTGGGTAGTTATATGCACACTTAGATCAGTGCACATTACACTTCTGCTCTGTGAGCTGCATTGGTTAGCAGTCTGCTTCCCAGTTCAGTTCAAGTTGCTCATAACATCCTCTAAAGCCCTTATGTGGCATGGGGCCAATTTATTTGAGCCCCCCATTTTATCTACTTGCCTAATTAGATCCAGCAGAAGGCCGTGTTGCCTGGGGAACAGGCAGGAGTGATGTGGAGCTGGCAAAATAGCTATGCTGTTGAGTGAGATTGTTTTCACTCTCCTGTAGAGTATGTTTTTTATGTTTTTTATGATTTTTAATAGCTTTTTATTGTTTCAATGTATTTTAATAGGGTTCTTGTTTTTATATCATTTTTATTGTTTATTGTGTTTTTAACTCTGCTCAGCTGCTCAGATTGACAGCTGACAATTGAACTTACTTAAACAAACTGAACAAATTAGTAAGTAAAAATAGGAACACATGGCGAAGTGCTCCTAACTGAAAATGATGTAAACCATCCTAAGGAACAAAATATTCTCTGATGCTCCATATCCACAAATCACTATATAATACATATTTAAAAAAATAAAAGCAAATCAGTTCAACAGACATCAATATAGCAGTAACCCCCTTACGAAAGCTGCAATAAATGTTTGCAATGCTTCCGCACAGTATTTTGGTTAAATAAATATGATGTTTAGAAACACTCAAAGCACATGTGGTCACCTGAGATTGTCACAATTCCCAAGTTCTGGTGGAATCTGTAGGAGATCATTGTTTTGAAGATCTAGAGTACTGAGCTTTTCCATCTTCTTTAACTGTTGAGGATCTAGGGATCCAATCTGATTATTTCCAAGAAGGATGGCTTCAAGAGTCACGATACGATAGAGGACATATGGAAATATTTTAAATCTATAAAAATTAATACACATTTCATTAATAAATAGGTAAGTTGAAATAATTTGATTATACTGAAGGGGAAAAAAATCCATGGAAACAGAACCAACAAAATACTCTTACATTCTTGTGATCACACCAGAGAGTAAACATGACAAACTGTTCTTTCAAATAGTTTGAAAAACATGTTGAATGATGACATTACTATAAACTCTAAACACATGCAATTTATAAAAACCTTAATTATGTAGAATAAAATACAAATAATTATTTTTAATGGTAAAACTCCAGCTGTGATTTCAGGTGATAATAGTCTTTTAAAAAATAATTTTGTATACTGAAAAACTGCTTGGATCCTACCCATTGTATTTATTTTATTTTATTTATTTATTGACCTTTATTTATTTATTACCATTGGGTAATTTTTACATAGAAATGCTTATGGGAGAAGATGTTACTTTAACTAATGTTTTTTATGTATAATTCATCCTTGAATGACAAACAAATTGCATGCTAACTATTCTATAAATGTCCCAAGCCAATCAATTTCTATGTGAAGTAATATTAAATTATTGCAGAATAGCGCAGAAGGGAACATTCTGACATCCATGGTCAGACATTTCCAGTCAGAAGATGGCTTTTTAAATATGAAATCTCCCTAAAGTTTCCTGTGTTGACTCTATTTGTACATCAGACTTGTTGGGTGACATACATGCACAATGCTCTCCAAAATACAAATAGCAGTGCCACATAATACCACATGAAGAGACTGTAAGAGCACTTACCTGTTAAAGGCAATATTTATTATCCGTAGTTTTGTCAATGCTTCCATTTCATCTGGCAGAGATGTCAAAATGTTATTTCTAAATTGTCAAACAGAAAATAATCCCTTTTTATTGTATGTCAATATTTAAATTTAATTATGTAATATAAAACATACATAAAATTATGTTTCCCATCAAACATAAATAAATATACCTGAGTTTGAAAGGAAGGTAGTTCTGGGGTCAAACAATAGGAGAACTGCTTTTCTCAAAACATGTTAGGAACTTCTAGCTAGTAAGATTGAGTATTACTCCTAATTCAATTTTTCTCAACTATGGCAACTTGAAGACTTGGGAACATCAACTCCCAGAATTTTTCCAACTAGCAAATTTCTGGAAGTTAAAATCCATACAACATCAAGTTGCCAAGATTAAGAAATACTGGCTAATTTCAAAGGGCTCCTTTCTATTTGTATCTACTCTACATGATCATAGGAAATAGACATAAATAAATGGGTCTCAAATTATGCAAACTATGGCCTAATTTCTCCTCTTGATTTTAAGGAAATTATTGCCATCAGCATTAGTATGTTTACTTGGCATGTACTTTTATCTAAGCATCATACAAAACTTATATTTTTACCCTGTAACGAACCTATATAGTAGAAGAGAGTGCAGCTGGCCCCAAGTCAACCAGTAAGATTCCATGGCTGAAGGTAAACTAGACCTAATTCCCCACTCCTAATCACAAACCTTACATACTGCAATATCATATAATTTTGGACTTCAACCATACCTGAGTCAACATTAGTCAGATTCATAAGAATAAAATACGCCTTGTCCCCATATTAAGAGGGAGTGTCTGAAAGGGGTTTCCATTCATAATAATTTTCAGGCAACCAAGATACTTTATCGGGGATCACAAAACCACAATTCTGTAATCTCACTGAAGCTGAGCCTTTGAAAGATTCCTACCTGATAATACTGGCGATTTTGAGACAAAGGTTTACAGTGGAACCTTGGGTCACGGCTGTAATCCGTTCCAGGACTACAGTCACAACCCAATTTGGTCGTAACTGGAAGCACGACTGTCTGCGCATGTGCGGACCAAAAAAAATTGGCGCCAAAGGGGAAATCACCACGGCAGGGAAAATAGCCATGGCAATTTTCGGGCTTGCCTGGTCACCACCCGAAGATCTGTTCGCAACCAGAAGCAAAACAGAAGCAAAAATACTGGTTGTTACCCAATTTGGTCGCGAACAGAAATGTTTGCGACCCAAGGTTCCACTGTATTTTCAGGATCCTTTGAGACTCCTCTGAATTGGTTTTATCCTACTCTGACACTTCTAAATTGTGTTCTTAGATAACCTTTCAATATTTTTTGCATTTGGGGAGAAAACAAAACCTTACAGGTATAATTTAAATGCAGCTTTTAAATTTTTCAGGAATTGCTTACCTGAGTTCCAAATGTGTCAGTCTATGAAGCATACATAGCTCCAGTGAAACAGAAGACAGCTTATTGAAACTCAAATTAATATCACTCACAGATTCTTTTAGTTCCACAATCCTGGAGAAATGGTAAAAATAAATAAATAAATAAGTAAGTAAGTAAGTGTAAATAAATAAGCAAGCAATTTAATTGAAGTCGTTAGGATCTGCATTATTTGGAGCTGTTTTAAAAAATATTGATAATAATGCAATTAAACTTTTGTGAATTATTTTTAACCAACCTATATTTCACAGTGAAAATGTAATCCAAAGTAAAACAAAGTAAAACAAACACTATTTGAGAAAAGAACATGGGCAATTGTTAAGAAACACTAGAAAAAAAAACAAATCTGAAAGCCTCTATTTCATCCCAAAGTGAGACAGAAAGCTATAGAAACCAGGCACTTATAATATTAAGTGTGATTAAATGCAAGGTAATGGGGTACAGGGTAGAGCACAAAGCAGTGAGAGCAGGCAGGTGGCAGACCGTAGGGTGTTGGGGACAATGGGAGTGTAGGATACGGTAAGCAGCAGGGATGAAGTACAGAGGTGGGGATGTAGCGTAGGGTGGCAGGGACCGTGTAGTGCAGGAAAATAGAGCTACAGGGTGTGGTGCAGAGTAGTGGGGAAGGCAGCGGCAGTGGAGAGCAGGGCAACAGGACCAAGGAAACATAGAGTGGCATGTTTGGCAAAATACAGGGCAGAATGCAGGGTGCATAGTGTGAGTCGGCCAAAAGGGCAGAGATGGCAGGGGGCAGACAGGCAGGTGGAAGAGTTGTAGTAAGGGTGAGCACTGCAAAATAGGGTAGAAGCATGATGTTCTTGCTTTATGATGACATGGTTCTTGCCTAACAATCACAACCGGGATTATAGAACTGCCATTGCTAAGAGGTGTAGATATGTGGTCATGCAATATTTTGCCTAACAACTGCATCGCTTAGTAATGGAAATTCCGCTCCCAATTAGGGTCATTAAGCGAGAGCTACCTGTAAATTTTCTTTACAATGAGAGCGATGTTAAAAACTATAAATACGTAGTACCTTGCTGGGATTTCAGTCAGATTATTCTTGCTGAAGTTTACATTACTGACTGGATTGTCTCCAACCGCATTCAGAACTTCATCCGGTATTACAACGGCCTGTTTCTCACTATACAGTATTTTAAAAAGTTATCTTGTTTGAAAGGATAAAGATGATCAGTCTTGTTTGCTCTACACATTGTTTCATTGGAATGTTATAAAAACACATTAAAAGTTCAACATGTCATACATTAATGATAAAATCATTCTTTTTTTAAACCTTCTGTTGTGCCAGACCAACTAGAATAAACCTTGCATACAACAGACCAAATTTATGTTTTGATTTATCTAATTTGCAGCAATTTATATCACAACTAACATTGGGCTGATTTATCTAGTTTTTGCAATGATACTTGCTTGACAAAGCACTTGACCTCAATATCAATGATTTAAATAAAAATACAATTCATGTAACAAAGATGAATTGTCATATTTCTTTCATTCAAGTATAAATAAGAAATTTCCTGATATAAGGGACTTAGGGGCTATTGATTGGGCTCAAACATTCATCTCAAGACACAGTTTTTGAAAACCATGTTTTTTTAAATTAAGTCAATGATTGATTCCAGGGGTTATATTCTATAAACCAAAATGGGTGGATTCATAGATAGTTCTAAACAAATTAAAACAGTATTATAGTTCAAGAAGATTTGGGTACACACCCACCCACTGAATACGTTAATAAATTTGTTTATTTTTATTGTGTTTTTATACTTGTAACATTTTCTTAAGGTGGTTTATAGCTAAAAAAACCCTGACACAATAGAAATATTAAACTAAAAATTTAAATAATTAACAAATGTTGCATATGTATTTGTACAAGGCCATAGTTATATATATATCAAAATCTGTTTTAAAGGATTTCAAGTTTTCAGCAAAGAGATTGATTTATTCAGTTTTAGGTGAAAGACATTCCAGAGGAAAGGAGGTATAGAAAAATCTGGTTCATATAAAATTAAAATATTCCTACCTATAATCTAATGTCTTCAGCACAGTAATAGCATGCATATTAATTTTGGACTGACTTGGCAAAGTCATTGCTGTCATGGGAAATTCTCCATTTGGGTTAATTATTTCATCATCTACCAAAAAAAGTAGGTTCACATAAAATCTGACACGTAAAATCTATTAAGATTTCAAATTTTACCAATAAGGTTAGTCTGTATTTAACATAAAAGATTAAAATATTCAACCTTAAATATTTTTCACTTTGGATGCATGCATTCAAAAAAATCAAGCTTGTTCAATTAAATGGACTGGAAGATTCCTAGCATTGAATAGTTGTAGACAGAACCAAGTGTAGAGTAAATACACTTGTTCTCACTTTTGAGATTGTCCATCACCAAAAGTAATTGTCACACAAGGGGTTAATTTCCCCCCACTCCAAATTTAGGTCTGTTCTAAATATAGCATCCCTGGAAAATATTTGGAATTGTTCTTTGAAAAATCTTTAAAACTACTGACTCGGTTCTACTAGTAAAAGGATATTTCAATAAATAAGTGATCTGTAATGTTCACAACATTTTACTCCATCATCCAGGAAGGCTGCATGTTTACTTGGCACTTATATATTCCAAAATAAAAATACACATTACTGTTAAAATTACTAAAACATTTCCCAACAAATGAGAAACAGATATTCCAAAGTCTCAACTATAATTTTTTACTTTTAAATAAATTATTTACCTTGTATTTTGCTTCTAAGGTATTTCAGGATTTCTTGTGTTCCTTTCTAAAATGAAAGAATTAAAAGCATAAGTAGTTTATCTTACGATTGTCAAGGATCCAAAATAAGTAACATGGTATGTATACTTACTTGTAGAATATCCCTTCGGATTGCTCTTAAAGGATTTCCTTCCAGAGCTAAAAATTTCAACTGAGAAAGGTTTCCTAGTTTACAAGGAAGACTGATAACATAAAGAGGTTATTTCAGAGATTGTATCCATCAAAACAAGTAAATGCAATATAATTATTTTCACCGTTCATTATTTTTAACTTCATTATTAGAAAAGGCTCTTATTTTTACAATTTCATGAATAACACACTTTCCAAAGGCAAAAATGTGGTTTTGAAATGAATTAACATATGTTACTCCTTTCACAAGTAAAATAATAAATATGCTTCCTACTTGCTAATA